AAGAATTGATTTGTTCAATGCTTGTTGACTCATTCACAAAGATTGTTTGAGGTTGGCTTCTTCAACTGCATTGGATCGACGAATGTGATGAGAAGATTTGTTTGTTTATGTTAGTTACTCTTGCTGTGTGAGATGAAAACGATGAATGAGGAATGCGAAGGCAGTGGAGTGTTTCATGGAGGAGATGGCGATATCAATGCTGACACTTGCTAAATTTGAAACCAAGATATCTAAGCACTGACTGCGCATCAAACAAATAAACAAAACGATCGCTCGATTAATCACTCATCTAACTGATAACTGCAACGCAGTTACTCTCGCTATATGAGATTTTCTCGAAAGTGATATTTGGAATAATATTGGCAATAGTGGCAACGTTATCAGCAACCATCAAATTCGGAAAGACTGAACGCTTGAGAAGGTTGAATTACAGTTGAATGCTTCACAAGCTGAATAAATCATTTCAGGACAATTCGAGCACAGTTCACTGAACTGCAACGAAGAAAAGGAATCAGTGAAAGATGCTGTCAGTAATGCATTATAGAGTATTGTTTAAGTGTGCGTCGTTCGCTGATAACGCTTTTGCTTCCTTTATGAAATTTTTCTTCCTTCAAAATTATTCAGCTAGCACTTTGGCGACCTATTAACATAGGTAATTTCAGTCACGCCGTAAATATTTACATTGGTCGGTTGAATCGGTTCAACAAAAGGAGATCAGTTGATCGTGAAATATCAAGAAAGAACAGCTCAACCTAACGGTCAATTCATCATTTGGCTGTTTGGATGAAGTTTACATGTCGATTGAACGTGCTTGTTCGGGAACGACGTCAGTCGTTATGAGGAGAGAATGATGAATGAATGTGGTTGAAAGCATGAATGAACGAATAAATCGAAGAGAAGATACATGAGAGAAAACTTTTGGCTTATTGATGTTTGAAATTAGTTGCTTTGTGTTGTTGTTAAGCATGTTTATCGCAGCATGCCGTTACAACTCCAGGCACTAGAGATAAAAAGAAATCATTTCTAATTCAATAATAATGGTTTGGCATCGGTTAGGTCAGGAACGCATTGAATGTAAACTTTTCAAGTTTCACGCGTGATGTTGCTGACTGCGAACTGATTTTGGGTTGCCACTACGCAAACAAATAGGATGCATGGATCAATCGATCGGTTCTTCGGTTTTTCTCAAGGTAATCTGCACTCAACTTCGAGAACATAAATGTGCTAACCAGTAATTTATTCCATTGAAAATGAGTGCTTGAGAGTTTTTTTTTTTGTTACACGAAGCAGCAGCAACAATAACAACAATAGGAGAAGCAATTGATGAAGGAGAGTTAACCGGGGGCATGAAGAAATCGTTAAGTCGCCTTTGTCACCAAACAACCGTCTTTTTCTTTCAAAAAGCTAAACAAATTCAAATTTGGTGTAAGCATGCATCTATGCTGACTGCGTCTTCATAAAATAGCTGAAAATGAACGAATGGTTCAACCAATTCGTTCATTTTCAGCTATTTTATGAAGACGCAGACACACAATTGATATTTTGATTGTGGTTGATTGCTCAGATGAATGGATAGATGGATGGATGGATAGATAGACGGATAGATATTACAGATGGCTTGAGGCTCAAGACTTCAGCTTAACGAGCAACGAGTGGCAAGCACTCAAGAGACCGACCACCGGACTTTTGTTATTCGTTAAGCACCAAGCCAATAGCGTCATTATTCATAAATTCTCTGGTCTCGATAGATCATTTCTTTCCTAAACTGACAATAACAACGATCGCTTCCACTATCCTTTCCATTCAGTGCACCTGTGGTTCAGTTCCAAACAGAAGTCAAGATCGAAAAGGATTTAAGAACTCCCTTTATCCGTTTATGTGACTCATTTTTAGCTGCCTTATGTACAGATTGGTGAGTTTTATGACCAGTTCAGTGGAGATCATGAATCACAAACGTTCTGAGAGAATGAGTGCGCGATAGAAGGAATGAATGGATAAAGTGACTAAAGAAATGAATGATTTAGTGGAGGAAGTAAGTATGCAGCTTTGCTACAATAACATTTAAAAAATTGATTCCTGAATTCTAAGATATTGTGTCACGAAAAAAATTGTAAGATATTGAGAATATGAAAGGAGAAATGAATGTTTCGTTTGATTACAGTCATCGCAACATATTCGCAAATGTTACCTGAGCATAGAAACTCGTACCATGCAAAGATGGTGAGAAAGAATAAAATCGATAATAATTTGCAGTCGAGATGCTTACCCTAATAACTTTGTCGACGCAGCGTATTTGATCTTCAATTGTGACGACACCACCGTTCGAGTGATTGTTCATGGTTACTGTTTGATAACGTTGCTGTTGCTGTTGATGTTGATGAGCGGATGAAGAAGAAGTTAATTTCGAACTTGTTCCACTTGTAGTGCCCATCAATGGGCTATGACCGATACGAGTGATGCTGTTACGATTATTAATATGAGTAACGATAGGAGCAGAAGTAACGAGGCGACTGCTAGTGTGAGTCGAAGTCGTTCAAGTAGAAGTATTAGAGCCGTAGGGTGCTACTACTACTACTACTGCTAATGCAGATCGCAACGCACCGCTTCCTATACTCCTTTCTCTCCAAGTAACAGCACAACGCACGCGTCGTTGTTCGGTATTGCCTTCTCCTTCGTCAGTTGCGGCGATCGTTGCTGTTATGATCGTGCTGCTGGTGGTCATTGTTGTTGGCGTCATTTTGGACGTCGTTGCTTTTAGTGGCCTCTTGTTGGTTGTGCTCGTGTTCGCGATGGCATTCTGAATGGTCAGTTGCATTAACAAGTGATTTTGTTGTTGTTGATGTGGTATTGTTGATTGGTTTGTTCAAACTTGACGGTGGATCGATCGATTTCGAAATACAGTTCGGTTCAATTCGATTATCAGAGGTCAATGATGCATACTTGGAATGCTTTTATTAAGTGCATTGCTTAACACAGTTGAACGAAATGATCTGAATTCGCGAACTCACACTCACGAGGTTCTTTGGAATTTTATCGTTGTTAAGGTAAGCGCTTCTAGTTGTTGATGACGACCAGCACCATTCCAATAATTCGAATCATCCCAAGCATGACGAGAAGATCGGTAATGATGATGTCGAAAGCAGTCTGCAGCAACACTTCCTTCGTCTCGTAAAACAGGATGTTGCGGGCAACAATTGCCATTATTACCAGACATATCTCTTGCTATCATCACTTATTCTAAAAAGTTGGGAAAATAGCTAATAATTTACGGTGAATAACTGATTTACTACTGCGTGATAAGTGCCATCTGTTTAATTCACTTGTTTAATTCTGAGATATTTTTTGAACCATACAATTCAGCATTACAACAGACACTCAATGAACAATTTTAATATGCGTGATGCGGTTCATGCATAAAATATGAGAGAACGAAAATGGATTCTTTGAAAAAAAAGTATTTAAATGCTACGATGAATAATTGGGATTCAACAACCATAATTACTTGAAAAATCTCAAATGTTATCGATGCGTAAACGATATGTATGAACAGTTGAAGGAACGATATGTATGAAGGAAAGAACCCGGATTACTACAAAAAAAAGAAGCTCTGACGTAATAGGGAATATCGTCAACACCCAGTCAAGCAATAACACGGTTATACAGTAATTACAACATCATTATAATAAAACAAATATTAATACCAGTAGTGTTGAGCGATCTATCATTTTTCAGTCTCGTGAAATAGATCAACAAGAAGTATCATTGGAACAGTCAGACATTTAGTAACATCACAACATTTACTCATCTGCGGAATGAGGAACTGAATGAACGAAATCCATTGCATTTTACTCAAGAAAGCAGGAGAATATTATATTAATTTCAGAAATGTGAATAATTAGTTCTGATGTGCAGTAAATCAATGCTGCTTTTGTTTTGTTGTTTACATAACTTTTCCAACAAGGCCGAATATCTAGCTTAAGTTCAGCTCTGTTACAGTAATGGATAGCGGTTCGATCAATACTGAGGTAATTGAATACGAGAAGAGAATTGACTGATCAAGTTTCTAACCAAGTAAGATAGTCAAATTCGTAATATGTGGCCAAAAACCAAATGAAATTAAGTGATTTCTTAGCGATGTTCTTGAAAAAATACAAATAAGCGTTTGCAATCACGTATCTTTGAATGTTCTTTCCCCGTTGCAGCAATAAGCATAAACCTAAATTAGCAAACATGTTACATCTAAAATTTAAGCTCACATGATTATATGACATCCGATCCCATCCGAACCGAATCTACGGTCTTAGCATACACATATATTGCCTTTTAAGCTCCTACTTCCAAACTTGGTTCTCATTCAACTGACTGCCTAATACACTGTTCCGTTAGTCCCTACATCAGTATGTATGCAAGGGGTACCTGAAATTCTCGACGCACTAACCATTATAACCAACCAGCTATCTATCAGTCACTCACTCATGGATCCAAGCGAATATGCACATTTAACCACATTACTTAGGTATATCTGTATGCATATGCAAATATTATCCCACCTTCTGAGAATAATGACAGTTTTGATCGTTTTTGAGAGCAATTATGAATAATTGTTGCTGCTAAAACACGAAAAGCAAAATTATTTCAGTGTGGGACTTATTGTTCTATGTGAACGGTCGAAAACAAAAAGTTTGATGGCATATTAAAAGCATTCTTTTATGCGCTTCTGCTCACACAAAGCTTTTCATAAATTTGTTTATTCAAGCAAAGCAAACTCTGTATGTATATGTAATCATATGCATATATTTATACATACATCATGAACCAAATCAATGCAAAGAGGCAGATACTGTTGAAATGATGAAATCTAATAAGATGGGAGGTAAGCAAATCGAAAAACTTTGGCCCAATAGCATAATGGTGCACAAAAGAGAATAACCATAAGATTTCAAGGATTCGTCCTTTCTCAGTGTTGTTCTTTGAATAGGAGATACTCACAAGTAGAATAACAATGAAACAGTGAAGAAACGGATGATGAATTGATAGCTCCAAGCAATCAAATTACGTTGGGTTTTCTATAAAGAATTCCATCTTGAAATTTCGTCATTTCGCTTTGCCTAAATCGATCATTCAATTTGTTGTGTAAAATCAATCTCACTTATTCTCAATGTAAGAGCAATCCGTATCGGGTTTGTCAACGAGTCATTTAATGAAACAATTTAGTGCCTGTAGATTTGAACATGGACGTCTGATTGCTCTTTGTTTTTCTGATCATTTAAAATGTTGGGGAATGGTTCACTGTCAGTGACCTTCAGTGGTATTATCGAACAAGCGATTGGTGATGCAAGTGAACAACGTGATGTGTCGATTTAAAAATCTGACAACAAACAGTTAAGCGAACAACACCACTAAGCGTTCTGGAAACGTTTACGAATGTATATTCCAAAACGTGAATCGTTCTGATCGTAAGGTGATATCCTAGAAATACCGTCCCATTTCATGATTGTTCGAGAATACCTGTAACAATTACGAAGTACATGTTGATGATCGGCGTTCAGTGATACTTATAAGGGACATTTATTATTGACACAACTTTTGAGAGCAGACAGCTATTCGTTTTTCAGTATTTGACAACTAATGAAGAAGTTTATTGGTGTTAGCTGCCAACAGATGCTTATTCTGTTATTCTCATTCAGTGCTGACAGTTGAATTGTTTTTTTTTCAAGCAATTATTTGCTGATTGGAAAAGCTTATGGGGAATGTGGGATGATAATGCAGTTCATTTAAATCGAAAAAATAATGAACCATGCAGGCCATTCGTTTGGAGCATAACGTCCAACTGTTCCAGTAATAATTTTTGTTCCGGCATGTGGTCGAGCGTATTGCTTCAATGATTCGTCGTAATGGTACGTTTGCCGTTTTGAACGCCATGACCGAGCAGCATCAACGATATTTGTAATGGCTGTGATTGGTTTCATGGAAGGTTAAAGCGAAATAATGATCATGTTTCATTCAGCATACAACGATCATTCACATACTGATTCATTTTTTAATAATGAAATATTGCAAAAAACCTCTCTCAATTAAGTTGAAAACAGTTATAAAAGTGAAAAAAATCGCTAACGAGCACAAACTTACCACCAAGTAAGATGAGAAGACCAGTAAGATGAGAAATTTTGAGAAGGCCCATCGTTTGCTAACCAAAAGCACCAACAGTAATGATCAATCACCGTCGCGTCTCCTCCAGAGGATACGTCAAATTTTGTCTATTTCAGCGAACACAAATTGACAATCGACAACGTAGAACCGATGATGACTGCCGCTTTTGCCTGGATTGCAATTGCTCTCTGATCAATTCTGATCAAATTGGATCCGATATAATGGGATGAGATCAAATCCGGTGATGATTTGAAGACTGATGATGAATTATATGATTGGTTTATTAACGACAAATTTTTTGTCTCTTCTCAACGTGTCGTGTAAAATGATCGGCCATCAACTATTCGTACGAATATCGTTCGTTGCTGTCTGCCGCTAATTGTTAACACTTTTCAGTGTTTCAGTCTTATCTATCTGTCCATGCATACGTCCAATCATGCGTTTCAGAAACGTTTCTTCTCCTTTCTTCTGTTCTGCCTTCATTCATCTTAATTCCATGATTGTTTCATTGTTAAATCTAAAGTTGTTGGTTAATTTCCATTCATACATTTCTTCTTCATTCAGCATCATTTTATAACGTTTTTATCATCCTCCCATCATTTTCGCCAACTCATTGCTCTTTTTCATTGCCTTCATACGATTCTTCATTTTGGATCTTCTTCTCTTCTCCGAGAAGAATAAGATTTCATAAGACGACATCAATTCCAAAATCAACTCTCTGTTCATTGTCATCCCGTCAACTCTGGTCACATTGATTGCTACCGCGTCCATTAATGTGCTGTCATCATCAGATTTGTTTGTTGGTGTTTTTTGGATGTTGAATATACACTCCGTCATGAACAAAACGCGAATCGGTAGGTGATTAATATGAACATCAATAGCAATGGAATAAAGAAACAAAGGTGATGAGACTAAATAGTTGGATGAAGTGAATAAATGAGTGAAGGATTGTCATGATGTCGTTCAATCATCCATCTATAATAAATCAGGTCAGTCAAAACCAATTCTAATGTGTTGCATACTACGGTCGATCAGTTTTCGTTATTTTCATAGAACATTCTTTGTGACTGCTGAAAATACAAACGTCTCTTATTGTTTGCTATGTTGACTTCAAATACGTTCGATACATTCCTGTCTCAAAATTTAGCCAACATCTTCCTTTTGAAGTGAAAATTTCGGCGAAGTGAAACCCCATGATGGCAGACCTCATGGCAGTGAAGTGAGACGTAGTATTTGTCATCATAAAATTTGTATTTTGTGATTATTTCAGTAGAATCAATTCCCTTTTTCTTGAGAAACTTTTCTGCGCAGCTACCTTAAGTGAACAATCCATCAATTTTTCTAGAAAAGTTTTCTACCATAATATATTAGTTCACTTAATATGAATTGCGCTGAGAAAGTTTTCATTCTGTACCATAGCGCCATTCCTCGAGCAGTTGAACATTCCTCAGCGGAGATCTTTTACACATTATCACGATAAATCATTTCATATGAGTTCGGGTCAAATGAATTATGTTGCGTAAATTTTCACCGACCAATTAAAGCGTTCTTAATATTGGTTGAAGAGACCAGCTGAAGTCATTCATACAGAGGTTTTTCCAAAAGCAATTTTGTCGAAATAAACTACCAAAAAAGTTATCTCTCTTGGATTTTTCTGAATCAAAAACGATATCTGAACATACACGACTCATTTGAACCCTACAGTTGAACGTTTTACTACTCAACGAAATTTTTTTCAATTTCCATTCATTTACCTCCCACCACGACATTACGATGCGTCAGAGATATCAATTTCCAAGGTTATTTAAAGAATGAGAATAAAGCATTTAATGTTTGATATTCATTGAGATTTATTCAAAAATAATTCTTCTTTCAAATATTATAAAACCAATTACCTATAAGAATAAAAATAACGATAGGTAATATCAATAAACATGACCATAATAATAATCAACTTAGATTATGATGGCAATAATACTGAATAAACGATAAAATAATTAACAACAGTAATGTAATTTGAACTGGTCAAACATATTTATGAATTCATTGATGCCTTTATTCATTCAGCAGCAAGTATTCACTGAACCCCAATTAATAAAATTGTAATGAATGTCAACAACAGTGAATTAATCACGTTTATTACAACACAAAAAGCGCAACCATCGATCAGTCAAAATTTGCAGTATAGAGTTGTCAGTCCACGGTAAATGGGAGCTCTAACCACAAGTCATTTTTCTATGTTTTTGGTGTCTGGGACGCCCTTAACTTACAAAGAAGTACATCGAAACAATGATAGGGAGTCGGGACAATGTTGAGTATGATCATTCCACTAAAATATTTGACGGGAGCAGCTGGTTCTCGATGTTTATGCGGCGGATTGTTATATTCTGCGGCAGATCTTTCACCAAATGTCCATTTGGGTCAGATGGTGAGATAAGAGATCAGATTTCGGGGAATATCCTGAAGGATTGGTCTCACGGTCACCTTGGTTAAACCTTTCCGTCGGCAGCGCTTCGCTTTTCTTCATGACTTCTGCCGAATGCGCTTAGGGTCTGCTGATTTCACTCATTCCGGAAACACTTCCAGCTGGCTCAACACCTCGATCGACACAAAAATCACTTGCAATTGATACGCAAGAAAGCGCATGCTGAAACTTTGCTCACGATTACGAAAAACAACTTGAACGATGGAATATACAGTTTTCCGTTTATTCTCAATTCGTGTTCCACAATTCTGATCGTTCAGTTAACGAAGTTTGGCAGTAGTGCATTGATACTGTACGCAGTTATACTCGTTATTACCACTCTGTTGACTACCAGTTCCTTTACTGCCACCCATTTTCAAATGTTCTTTTTGCTTCTCACTTGAAATAACAGCCAGTCCAGGATTAATTGTAACAATTAACACAATAAAGATATAAGTTCGGCTTACGAACGCTTCGGTTTACGAACATTTCAGTTTGAGAACAAAATTTTCGTTTAAAATTTGCTTTGATGTATGGACATTTGCAATTGAAGTTCGCGAATTTTTCATCACAGACTTAAGCAAAACTAGATGTACCAGAAGCGTCATACTAGGATTTTGATCGTTTCTTAACAGTTTTCGACTCACTAAACATCAATCACCAACTATTTTCCAGAGTTGACGCAACATGTTTTCCGATTTTCGATACTCAAAGTGATAACATCCTAATCAGATGGGAGAAGGTGTTCGTGAAACGATATTTGACCCCACTGCAACTACAGTGAAGAGATCGGTTCATTTGTACAACATTCACAGCTGGCAATATTCAGTAACTAGGTTTTGCTAAAAGAGTCCTGATAAACTGGTGATAAACTGATGATTCATAACCAGGTTCAAGTGGACAAACTGAAGATTGTCTATGAGACAGTTCCTTCAAGTATAGTTCCGAAAATAACTATACTTGAGTACATACTTGACTAATTCCAACTGAATGTCAGGTTCTCACTTTTCAATCATATTTTGAGCTCTAGAAACCGACCACCTTGTCTTCAATGAAATTGTCCATACTCCTTGTTTTCAACAAAAATTTACGGGGTCGGTTGCAAAGAACTGAATCATTTTCCATTGACTGCAATCAAAAATCATACTTCAGCTTATGAGTTTTTCGTTTCTCGAACAAACCGCTGGAACGAAAGAAGTTCATAAACTGGGCATTCACTGTACAAGCAATAAGTGAATCAGCACGATCATCAAAAAAAGTAACGAGAACCAAATCACTCAATGATCACAACAGTCCAAAACATTAACAGCAATCGTACAGAACCATAAAAGTGGCAAATGATAATCTTGGTAGATTCAAGACGGTGTAAATTCCGAAAAGTGCAGTCTGCATCAATGGCCGCAGAGATGGCCAATTTGACTTTGTGAAAATGTCAAAATTTCACAAAGTTCAAATTCGCAACTTCGGACGCCTCTCGCTTGACCAAGAAAAGAGTGCAAAAGTTATGTTTCCGGGAGAATAGACTCTGGCTAGATCTATGCACAAAATCGGTGTTTCATTTCTATCCTATTCTCCTGTAAGGGTATGAGCCTCTATATATCGCATTTTTTTCACGCGTAACGGTCCTCAATGGCGATTTTTCAGTTATTCCGAATAATGACTGGTGATTGAATGACTAGAATGAACCAACCATAGATTATTTTGTTCTGAGGTGTTTGAAGGCTCAAGAAGCCTCCTCTTCAGTGTTAATTCGTAATGTAATGAGTTTTTGCAGAGGATGTTCGAAACTGACGTTTGCGGGTGACCTCGGGCGATGCTTGGACTCGCCGCCCTTCGATACTACCGCCGAAAAATCCATCGACATCTATCACTGCTTCCTAACGAATCACATTTTGCGCAGTGAACTAGTTGAGGCTTGGGGTAAACCCTGATTGAAGAAGGTTTTGACAGCTCCTCGCGGTTCCTTTCAATTTTGCCCAGCCCTGCGACATATAAACTTGAACCCATATACGATAATGAAAGCTTCAGGAAATTTTATGAGAGTTTCAGATTTTCAGAGAAACAACAGTTGCTCTTGAGTGGGTATGAGAATGCGATGAATACCTGTAATGAAATTCGATATATGTGAATGAACGAGGGAAAGGAGGTATGATAAGTATAATCACACTTGATCGCCGTGTTGTTCGGCGTATTTTTTAATAATTTTTTCTTCTCTTAATTTCACCACTTGCATGAAGTTGTTCACCTGAAACACGAAGGTAATAAATTGCTCAGTGATAGCGATAACAGCGTTCAGAATCGATAAACTATTCGGTGAAGTCGATGATGTTTACTTCATCAATATATTCGATTTTATTTGCTGATTCATGATTGAAAAATTGGAATAAATATTTTCGATCTTCATGCAATCAAAATGGATCTCAAGCTGAAGCCACAGTTTGAACTTACCATTATGGTGATCGGTAATGCCAATACCATAACCCCACATACTATCGCCCCACTTCCAACCAGCTTCCCGGCTGAAATAAGCAAGACTCAGTGAAAATCGAAACAAATTTCACTAATGTCTGAACTGTAGTCAAAGCTGAAAGCTCCTACAGGCTTGAAATGTTTGTTAATCGATTAAGTACAACAAACAAATTTCACATTAAGTTCAATAAACAACTGAATGAACGAATGGAAGAAACAAACGTGCCTATAGTTTGTGGTACACTATCACCGTAACCAACAGTTGACATCGTGACTACAGCCCTAGAATATTGAATTATGAAACGTATCTATCCGAATTGATTAACCTAATCATGTTTAACTGACAACTGCCAATCCTTTTTGGTTGCACATTTAAACAGTTGATCGATAATCAAAAAAGGAATGAAACAACCAAATTGATTTACCACCAAAATGAGGCTGGAATAGAAGTGAATGTGGTATTCGGTTCATCTTTTTCAAGGAAATACACGAGTGTTGAGAAGAAAACAATAACTGTTAACATGACAATGGCAACCATTTGCATTTGTTTCTTGCTTTTCCGTATTGTTAAGGCAAAATTGGCAAGACCTGAAGAGAAGCAGCATAAAAATCAAATTTTATGTGCAAATCTGGACAATACTGGCTGTCCATGATAAACTTACATAACGACCATGAAAACGATCACTGCTCGCATTAGAAATTGTTAAACCGACCTGGTGAAAAACGGCCCAATTTAACTATTCGTATGATACGAAGAATCCTCAGAAGTCGTACGGTTAAAAATGCCCATCTGACTTTGCGAATATTATCGCCTCTGATGCCTACCTTGAAAGATGATTTTTTTGTGTATCAAGGTATGCGGTAATTCAAGAGAATCATTGTATTCCATCGAGTACTAGATACATCCCGGCGACACTTTCTTACTATTCTCTTCTTTTTTTTGGGGAGGGGGGAATTGAACAACTTACAGCTTAGAATCTACTATTAAGTTTTATTCGACGCACAACAATTTACATTTCAAACGGAGTTTTTTTGTTATGATGCTCACTTAATTGCACTCAATATCTCCTATGTCTTGACAAGAAGTGCTGATCTACTGTAAGTATCTTGTGAAGTGAGAACGGAAATTTTACTTATTTTGGTGACAACTTGAAGAAATTTTTGCGTAGATTTTCAGTTTAGCAAGCAAACAATTGCGGAATCAGTGAGTATAGATGATGGAAGAATGAACTGAAGAACTCATCAATTATCACGCACAATTGCGAGAATTATTTCGAAAAAGAATGGCAATATTGCCAGTAAATCGATCACGTTCAAAAATTGCTTTGCGAACGACCACTTTCGGGGTGCAACACAGAATCGAAGCAAATATTCCAGAGTGAAATAGACCTGAAATCAATGTCAATCAGTCAGTTAAATCTCATTCGAAAAGTTCCTAATATCATTCCGTTCAATAACATAAAAACCTTACCACACAAATATTTTCGATATGATTAAAAACAGGATGCTCGACCATTTCGAGTCGTGTATCATCTGAAGTTTTGGGAGGTATCTTCAAGTTGGTTTGATGATCGTCAGCAGAATTTGGATGATATGTAGGATTGACCTGAGAGGGTCTGAAAGAAGGACCAACAACTGGAACACTAATGAAGTACGATTGCTATAAATTGTTACGATCATTTTGGAACAAAATGTAACACAAACGTCAATCAACTAACTGTGCATTTTGTGAAAGTGTGTCTTTTGATCGTTCAGGAACTTGGAATTCAGGAATGGAACCGAGAATAAGAGCTGCTATTGACAGTACAACAAACGACGATGAAGTTATTTCGAAAGCCTTCCACCATCTAAAAAACTGATTCACCTCTTTACAACTCATCTCTGCTCATCAAGAAAACATGATGATCTTATGTGTTGTCCCCATGATCTTCTGATATCAAAACAACCAAAGTTTGCACACAAGTGAACTTTCACATACTCCACTTACTTCGAATTTGTATGGCCCTCAAGGACAAACCAAAGGCGTCGGCGAAGCTTCGCACACCGCACTCCAATGAAGGGGTCTTTCTCCTGCAAGTTAGCCAAGTACCAACGAATGCTGTATTCCTTTCACCTGATCTATATCTATTTCATAACACGTTCTATAATGTCATACCGATTCAAGTTCTTAACAATCTCAAAAATCTGTCGATAGCAACGAAGTAATTAGGTGAGTTGAACGATCAAAACAATATGAGGTTAGTTGAGTAAGCATTGTTGAGCGTCAAGCCAGCGTCGATCAGTGCGTGTCAGTTTCTTGATTCTGTTGAAATCATGCAAAACGCAGATGTGTATGCGTATGTTGTGCTTGGCTGATCGCTTTTTTGCCACTACCTTTCTTTAAAACAACGCAAGTAAACCTCGTAGCCTGGTGTGTTCTTTGTGGATATAGGTAAATAAATGCTCCTCAAGTGAGATAAGCGAATTGCTCAGATAGGTTCGTTCAAATATTTATGAATAGTTTGTTGCTTGAGTATTTTTTAAAGGTTTGACTGATTGAAGTTCATCATGACGTGAAAATAGAACATGGTACTAAAGTAGTGATGGAAATCGAACAAAGAACTGGTTCGGCCGGAAACCACTTTCGCATTTCCGCAACTCGTTTATGCCAAACAACTTCAAATTTGTTCGCTCTAGACCCGACGGAATCCATTCTTGCAATTCCAAACCTTATTAATTATCGAAAACTCCTTTCAAGAGAAGCTTTGTTCGTAGTACGACCGTATATCAGTCATAAGTTATCGATCGAACAAAGTCGATCGTAAATATATGAAAAATATCACAAAGACATGTATTTAAATGGTCACTCAGAAAGTGACAAAATGACATCAACACATGAAAGTTAATGACTCGTGGAAAATGATAGACAGATACAGATGGATGGATGGTCGGATGTGCGGCAAATGCACTTCTTGAATTGCTTCCTGATGACAAGGGATTTCATTTCAAATAGGCTTGCTAAAGTAAGTACTGTTGTTGCTGACAGCATTTTCATTTGTTCATAGCAACAATATGTCATTGAACGCAGCACTTCATAATGAAAGTTTTAGATGAAATTGATGCTTGTTAAAAGCAAGATAGATTAAAAACACTTTCTTTGTCAGGTTCACTTCTGAATTGCGCAGAGCAAGAAGATGGAATTTGCTGAGCGATTCAAAACAAAAAGAAGCAATTTAATGAAGCAAGCAAGTGATTACATATCATATGAATAACAAATGTTTAACGTAATGAATAAATGATCAACGGTTAAAGTAATTTCAGTCTCAACTTGTTACATTCATTTCAAACGAGTGTTATTTTGAATAGCATTAATCTTTATTCAAAATTCAACAATCACCGCTAAATGTCCACTATGGGCTCGTATCGATGAATTTTTCGAAATATTGAGCCAATCGTCCCCAGATGCTACATGCGCCAATTCAACGTCAATTTCATCATCATACTAAAAAAAAGAAAGAAACAAAACCACTGACTATGGATTGCGCCGTACACTGAACTTTTCAGCTGCAGTACAAAAGCGTAATCTACAGAAAGAAACTGCTTGCTTGTTCTAACGTGTGTCGCGCCCTTATGCTAACAATATTGTTTGCATCTCTATTGTTATTTGTTTGGATTTCTTGACCGGAAGTATAAAATTGCTTCAAAAGGAGGAATGACGATACCGCTGAGTAAATGAAGGAATTTTTTATTGTTAAAAAATAATAAGAGAATTTGTTGAAATTCTACCGTTGTGTCAGCCGTTGTTTTCGATAGGATGCAGTACTGAGCGAATGGTGAACAACATTCATCCATTTTCGACTTAGACACTGCCCAAAATCGTAACTCAGCCATGAATTTATCAAAGCAAAGATCTTTCGGTACATGTAAACGTCCGGTTGCATAGAAGTCATAAATTGGATCGAAATACCTGTGAGAAGAACCAAATGAATTCTTATAATGCATGGAACAATTTGAAAATGAACTTTATGAAGTGAGGCTTTGCTCACTGTCAATTTTACCCACCGTGGTACTCGCTCAAAGAAATATTCTTCTGAATCCTCGAAATACCAATCAGCCCATTGCTTGCGATGATCATGATTCATCCGAACGAATCGACCCAACAAGGTCATTGGTCCGAATTTCACGATTGATCGCGTTCGAATACGGTAGCTTGAACCACCGATGTTGAGTCGGAGAATCATATCCTGGAACATATGGTCACTTAAAAGTTTATGGTTGTCGTCGAAGAAGTTGTTGATGCAAATCAGCAACATGGAACACTATTAAGCCGTTCAACCGATCCATTATTCTACCAAAAACTGTCCATTTTCAGAGATATTTTCGAACTTGTCAAGAAACTTTTGCAGAGAAAATATTTAGTGAGACAAGTTATCGCTTGGACGATAGCATTGCAGGTCTAGGATCGTCGCGAATTCTTTAAGATAAGGTATCAAAAAAAGGAGAAACTATCGAGAAACATGCGTATGTACATACCTTAACATCACTGACACAAATGCTTGATTTAGGAGAACAATTGCTATCAGAAGTAACAAGTTGCGCTTCCACATCATCCGTGAACTGTTCGTTGTAAGCACGCGAAAACGACGATGACTTATGCTGTGGGCTTGGTCCTGCGCTACCATATCTCAAACAAGTATGCATCAATAAGGTCCGTTCTAATAATCCTTTAAATCAACTAATTCATGTTTAGGAAGAAATCTGAAACGACGTAGCTATTACCTCTTGTATATGAGATTCGCTTGTCCCACGTCCTCGGCTCCTGCTTTCGCTCGTTCGGCTTCTCGAATCGCAAGAACAGCACCACCGCCTGCCATTTGGCTGCAAACTTTAACATGCAAGAAAAACGACTAAAAAAGAAGGTCAAGCTGAAAGCGATAGTGATGACTATAAGTGTAGCAAACAAGCAAAGTTATGGATACTAAATAATGAAGAATTAATAACTCAATTAGAAATTGTAACAGGCACCTCATCATATTGCTGTTCTCAACGGATGAAGTAGATATGTGGGAATGATGAAAAGTGACTGAAAGTCAACCGCTGTTTGCTGATCAAACTACTTAGTGATGGTAGCCACTAGAAATTAGAATAATGTTTAGAAGCGGAGAAAATAGGAAACTATCAGTCAACGACACAGGCAAGCTTGGCTATATGTAATTGTTGCAAGTGAACAAACGCTCGCGTATAAACAATGTTAATGTCAAAAAAATTTCGTTCAACATTTTATTGGATGAACCACTTAAATGTAGATTAGACGTTGGCTCGGCTCAATCTAGCTTTCACTCAATCTTTGTCCCTTTGGAGTGATTGTTAAAACAGTATCAGTTGCTTTTTTAGCTGCAAGTTCAACTTTTTCCTATGATACTAGTTATTATCAAATTTTTATGATTGACCGAATAATGATCAGTTTGCTTGGGACTGAAGTCAAATTAATGAATTTCAATGATACAACTTTCCCAGCACAATTTTATCAAATAGCACATTTAACAGCAGTATCACTGAATGTGAATCGTCAAATTTTATTTTAGCATAATTATTGAAGTGTTATTTTTTTAGTCAAATTTAAATTTTACTTTTGGTCAAATTTAACACAGTTTCATTAAATAGCACATACAGAAAGCATGGAACGAAAGCGTCCATTCATCTGAATTATTTGTCAATGAAGTAACTCATTGAAGCGTTCGTTGATTCAAATTGAAAGCGATAACCAGACATTTCCAATTGAAAGCGCATTTTATTGAACATTTCTTTACGCGTGAGCTTGCGTTCCCTTCAGTTGCTTAATTGCTTAATGCCAAAGTTTCGCTTTAACTTTATGGAATATCCTTCTCATCTTCATTCATTTGATTTGATATGTTTAAACGTTTCCATTCTGTTTCTCTTTCTAGTTTCTCTTCTTGATTCGATAGGTGGAGGACGGATGAATAAATGGATGGTTATTGCAGAAGCAGGAACATCTCAGAAGGATGACTCGGAAAAATGAAAATGCAAAAACAACAGCTAAATGGATTTTCTATGGTCTCCAGAATTGAACATAATCTATTTGCTCACGACGTAGAAATTTGAATTACTCTTGCATCAGCAAACACACATCACGAATGAGCAATTGAATAAATTCATATTTTCACCGTACTTCCCTTGCGCAAGTTCCCCATCCTGAACCCCTCCATCTTTATTAGATCCTCAGTTCAAACAATGACTTGAGAAATTTACCTTATCCACATCAAACAGATCTCTTTGGAAAATTAAGGCTTGTTCGGTTCTTAATCAAAGCATCACAATAGGTATGTAAAAAATTATTAGACCAGTAATGATCATTATCTCATTTCTTGTCATTTGAACAGACAGGCTACATTTAAGAGTCATAACAAGATACATATGTATGTGAAACTTTAGCGAGTAAAATCAGCAACACTTCAAGATCCGCAAAGTGCAGTTGCTAATAGAATTAACGTTCTTAACCAACCGAGAGAAATAAGGCATGTACTTGCGAGCATAACATGAATAGATATGTTTCCAATTGAACAAATTAACTTGCATGTATAAGTACGTAGGTATGCTTGTGACGAGGAATATCACATGATTTGCTATGAGACATTTCTGAACATATATATCTGCTGAATACAGCTGCATTCTAGGTTGACCACCAGCAAAAATTCAAATCGAATTCAATAACCAGCAACCGAGAAACTAAATACAATTACGAGATAGATATATTGGTTGATAAACAGACCGCAATATGCTGTTAATAAACGCCCTCTTTTAATCAAAAAATTCTGCTTTCTTTGAACTCTGATGGGATCGATCTCATATTCATTACAGCAGATCTTCTTAAGCGAACTGCTCGTGTCATATTTTGTAATTAATCATCGCTTCGTAAGTATCCGCAAATTAACGAGGAACAGGATGATGGAAGCTGAAAAATGAATTTGAAATGAAACCGCACAGCACATGACGGCTTTTTCGATTTTTAGCTGTCGTGCGAAGACTTTATTCTATCCTGTTGCGCGTTCACTGCAAATAAATGATGCTCAGGCAGCAATACCAGAAGTTCCACGAAATTTTTTTGTTGTTGTTTTTTTGCCTTGTGAAAGAATCTGACGAATTGACGGTTAAAATTTCAAATTTCGCTTGTCAATTAAGCATGAAAATTATTGATTTGGCATGAATCTGATTGAAAATATATCATTCAATAAGCAATATCACAACAGAAGACGTTATTTCAAATCTTTCCAGCAGATTGTTTTTTGTTTCCTTTCACTTCCAATTGCATATGATTGAATGAAGGATATTCAGTTTATTACCTCGTTCCTTATGACAGTTAGTGGCTATGTAACTGAGTTAGCTCTTTTTTGTGATAAACAAACAGCTAAAATGAGTTTTCTGCAGCTGAGCCGAACACATTCCCGATGAACATTAAACTGCCACTTTATAGTCTCAGCAAAGATAAACTCTACGATTGTTGAGGTGGTGGAGAACAGCAAAGACAAAACTGTTATGACGAATATATTTAAGGCTACATATTGCTATCAAATATGATCAGCGATTAAATCCAATGTTGAAATCGCGTAAGGTCTTGAAATGCATGCTGCTCGTACAAGTTTTGCCATAATCTTTTGGAATAATCACCCGATTCAACGCTTTTGGCTAACTGCTTGGATTTTAATTCATGTGGAAATCTTCAACGATTTATTTTCAACTGACAAAATTGCCTTCTCCTTTCTTTACGAATGTAGAAAAAAGACGAACATGTTATAGAACTGAATCGAATGCAATATCATATTATCACGAAGGAAAGTAACGAAGTTAGCATCGTGCATAATACGTGCAGTAGCAGCACCAATTGGCGTCAATATCGACAACATTGCCGTTGTTTGAAGATTTTTGTTCGGATTTGGTTTTTTTTTTTTGAATTGCATTAGTTCGGTGTTCAAAAACTAAACGACTGTTCGTCTCGGCAGCTTTGTTGTTGTTTCAGAGTACAAGAAGTCGTCGATGTCTAATTCAATCTTTCATAGCTCTTAAGTCCCTCCTTCTGATGCACATCGTATCGAACTTATCCAAGAAGTAATTAGCCACGTTAGCAAAATCAAATGCTCCGAACGCATCTGACTGATTGGCAATTTTGCTTGTTTAATCATCCACATAGGTACTTATTCTATCCAACAGTTGTTACTATTTTAACAAACTCCGGCTAAATAACATTATTGTTAATCATCACTTACTCCTCAATCAACATACAACTGTTCCGTTACACTTGAATTTAAAATGACCATGAAATTTATATATATATATATA